AAAAGAGGTTTACTTTTATTTTTTGATATCTCAAATAATAATATTTTATAAGCATTTTTGAAAAGAAAAGAAAAAAGGCGCGGCGTTTTTTTTTTTTACAATGTATTTTGGAGGAAGGGGGAAAGGAGGAAAGGGTTAATGCCTGCGAAGATTGGCTATTAAACATCCATGAAGGACCAACCTTCCTCACAAAGGTGGTTACTGCTGATGAAACCTGGGTCAATGGGTATGACTCAGAGACCAAACGACTATCGAGCCAGTGGCTCCCGAAAAATTCCCCCAAACGAAAAAAAGCAAGAATGTCTAAGTTAAAAGCAAATGTTCTTTTGGTGACTTTTTTTTCGATCACCAAGGCATTGTGCATTATGAATTCCTCACACAAAGGCAAACAATTAATCAACACGGGTCTCTAACGATTTTACGCCGTTTACGGGAATTAATATGGAAGAAACGATCTCGGGCGAATGGATGCTTCATCACGATAACGCCCCAGCACACAGAGCTCTTTCCTTGGGTGCTTTTTTACTAAAAATAGCATGTTGACAATGCCTCATCCCCGTACTCGCCTGATTTGGCACTAAATGATTTCTTTCTCCTTCCTAGAATTAAGTAAGTACTAAAAGGAAATAGATTTGATACAGTTAATACCATAAATGAAAAATCGCTGAGCGGTTTGAGGGGCATTACCTCTGACGATTTTTCTGGGTGCTTCCAGAACTTGGAAAAAAGAATGAAACTCTGTATAGATTCTCTTGGACAGTGTTTTGAGGAATAATAACCATTTTTTTGTATAAATTCATCTACTAAATATCTTATGACCCAATTCCCCAAATTTTATGAGATACCTTGTTTATATATATACACCAATACCTCGCTTTGCGTTGTTTCGTTTTGCGTTTTTTCGAAGTTGCGTCGCTGTTTAATTTTTACTGATTTTCACTGTGCGTCGTTAGATTTTCGAGTTGTGTTGTTTTGGATTCGAGTCTTTAATTTTTTTCCCCTAAAATATGGCAACACCTTTGTTTTTGATTGAGCCATGCCATCAAAATTTGGGGATTCCCTTTTTAACTAAAAATCAACGCAAATTTAATACAATTTTATTTTCACTTTTTATTGCTTATTTTAGAGTTCAGTTTAATTTCGTAGTGTGAGGTAATGTAGTGTGTTGTGCTTTTTTAAAAAGAGAATAATAAATTTACATATATAAAGTTTTACGTGGTGTTTTTGGTTACAAAAAAGATACAAATATTTATATAAGATGAAATTGATGGTACACCAGTTGTTCGTCATGAAATTTCCAATTTAGCTAGAGAGTCTAATTTTGAAGGTATGGAGGAGACCCATAAATGAATTGCTAACCTCGCACAACCAAGAATTCTCTAATAAAGAACTATTGCAACTGGGGAATTGCATTTTGCTAATGCACGACAGTGACAGTTTAATAGAAATCTCCAAAGAACAAAATTTAACCTCCAAACAAATTTCTAAAGCGATGTGTTTAATTGACGAAGCTATGGAGATTTTTTTTAAAAACGATCCTGACAGCGGAAGGAGTTTAAAAGTGTCCCAGGCGGTATCTACGAATATCAATTGCTACAAGGAAATTTATCTTATGTTGAAAAAAAAAAGCTGTTCAACAAACAATGGACCGATTTTTTGTGAAATAAAGCCGACCTACGACAACAGCCACTATGGACTCATCAGACAGTGATTAATTTTAATTTATTTTTCATAAACTATATGAATATGTTAGTAAATTAAATTTTATTGCCCTCTATCGTGTAGAGATTTAAAAAAGAAACGCATTGCCAGTAAATTTATTTGTGTAAAATTTTATATGAATATGTAGTTTATTTTGTTTAATTGAATACGTTTTTTGTATATTATTTTTGTTTGAAAAAATTTTACTTTGTTCAATTTTATTTTTAAAAGGTACTATTTTCGTAAGCCTGGAACCTATCTTCGATCATTAAATGGTTTTCTATAGAAAATTTATTTTTACTTTGCGTCGCTTCTATTTGCTTCGTGTTTTTTTTATTTTTTTGAACAAACTAACCCGACGCAAAGCGAGGTATGGGTGTATAGCAAATAATATTTACCAAAACATAACACGGGTACTTTTTTTTTTAAATTTCTAGGGCCATGATTATATCGTTCTGTGACACTATTAGAAGGTTAGCCAATACAAAATTTTATAATAGAAGAAATATTTTTATTTCATAAATGTATATTTTATAAAATACACAGGCTTTTTTTTAGCATATTTGCAAAAGAGATTTCGTCACAAGTTGTAAGTCTTGTTGAATAATTTTTTTCATACATTTCTTTACACTTCAAAAATAAGATATTTTAATGTTTTTTTTTTTTTTTTCAATGAAGAAATTAACTGTGTATAGAATACCAAAAATATCTCGGAAATTTTACTCATGCTAAAAATGAGGCTGTTTTAATTGAATCATTCAATAATCTTTTGTCAAGAAGTTAATGAAAATATGTGTTATGAGTTTGTCACTGAAGTGGTCATTCCCCACAGATTGCAATAGGCTCTACCGCATATTTGACCTTCTCCTCTTTTAACACATCGGCACCCCCCTTATAGAAAAGTGCACTCGCCCACTGATACTGCCACTCGGTTCATTGACCATTGGTACTGTTTTCCATAAGGACATGTGACTTTTCCAATGAGCGGTGCAACGTCAAGACTACTGGCGCATCAAAGGTAAATTTGAAAACCTGAATACCTTCATAATAAATGCAAACACTTCCGCTTCGAAAGCGACCACACATATTGCAATGTATTTAAAATGTCTTTGTAAACATATATTTATATTTAGATTATAATACAAATATATTAATAAATACAAATGACTATATAATAATATTGACTGTCGTATAAAAATATTGAATGATGACTGTGTAACAATACCTGTCAACATTGTTTACGAGTTCGAATATAAAGCCAATTGCCATATCAACGACGCCATATTGTTACCTGGTTCACAATAGGTTATTAAAAGTGGGATATAAGCTGTCAATATTTTAAAAATTATCCGTTTATATACACATATGCATACACTTGGGTGTTTAAAGGGAACAAAATAAAATAATTAAAAGCCATTGTTTATGGCATCGAATTTTTTTTTTCCAAGTGTGTATAATTATAAAATTCTATTTTTTAATTTATTGCACATTTATATATTTTTAAAAATAGATAAAATATATTGTACACAATAATGTAAACACTTAAGTAATTAACTGTCAAAAAAAAAAAAGTTCAAATTAATTTAACAAAGGTAACAAGACCTAATCCAAATAAATAACTTGTATGAAATGTTTTGGTAAGAATGCTGTCACTGAAACATCACATATAATTTATTTGGATTTTGTCTTATTACCTTATCTATAATCCAAACTACCTTAGCATCAATTTAACCAATGTTCAACTATCACACAATTTGCTCTATGAAAACCTTAACACAGAAAAGAGGTAATAGATTAATACCAGAATGAAATTCAATGTTGCAGTTATAATATGCAAAATAAAATAAATTATCTTGCATTGCATGAAATGTGATCAAGTATTTAAATTTTACCTTGGAAATATAAATGTCAACTGCTTTATTTTTTATATACTCAAAGCAATAATGTAGCAATATTGGTTCTAAAAATATCCTTACCTATTTTCCTTATTTGGAGAGATTTGAATGTTTCATTCTGCTGATATGTTACAAGAAGCTCACTGAATAAATAAAAAATAAATTAGAAAAAAAAAATGATTCCTCAATAAAGAGCTAGAAGAAAAATCACTTTCCACCATATCGAGCAGGTGCCTCCAAGACCCAGCTACCTTAGTCGGCCATCCTAAACAGACAAGTTGATACATTCATGTTAGTTGGCTTTAGAAAGATACATCCAATTCCTAGATTTTCAAACATCCAGTATTTCTATAAGAAATGTGACTTTTAATGTATATACTAGACGAATGACCCGGGCAACGCCCGGGTTTACCCGATTAAATGTTTTATTCAAACACTATTCGTTACAATTATAAATTGGCGCCGTGGATGTCACTCTTGTGAAACGTCCCGCTCCAAACTTTACAGTCAGATTAGTTACGATATAAATCTTCAAATCGAGCGAGCGTCTATATATATTTCGATTTAGATCAAATATTCTAATTATTAAGCGAACTATTATTAATAAAATTTTGAGAAGATTTCGATTTTAAACGTATTTATAACCTTGATAGAGGGCGCTGTTCATGAGCTAAGTAGAATAATTTGAATATATAGTTTTAATATTTAATTTATATATAATTTAAAATAGCCTATCGTTTTCCTCGTATTTTTTTACCTATGTATGGAAATTTTGGTTTGAATTAGTGAACTACTGCGAATTTGTATACCGGACATACAAACCAACAAACAAACAAACATTCATTTTTATATATATAGAAGATATAATATAAATGAGTTTTAAAAATTGTTTAAAAAAAATGCATCGGCCGGGAATCGAACCCGGGCCGCCCGCGTGGCAGGCGAGCATTCTACCACTGAGCCACCGATGCGTATACAAAATGGCCATATTTGGGTATTCATTCCATTCCGGATTACTCCGCATAAAAAAAAAAGTTCTTCAAGTGAAAAAAAGAAATAGCCAAAAATACTAAGCAAATTGTATCCAAAAATTTTCCTCAGGTTTATAAAAAGCTACATGCAAAATTTGGTACCAATTGGTTCAGTAGTTTTTGAGTTTATCGCGAAACAGACAGACAGACAGAAATTGACTTTTATATATATATAATATATAGAGATATAGAGATTAGTGTTTAGGTATTTGATTTAATTCATATAGTTGATATAATAGTTCATTTTGTCTCCTCTCTAATTGTAAATACGCTGCTGTATCACCTCATAAGAATAAATAAATAAATAAAATATAATAGTATTTATTTATATTATATTTTTTATAAATTAGTTTTAAAAATTGTAAAAAAAAAAAGCATAGGCCTGGAATCGAACCTGGGCCGCCCGCGTGGCAGGCGAGCATTCTACCACTAAGCCACCGATGCTTTAAAAAAAATGGCCATATTTAGGTATTCATTCCATTCCGGATTAGTCCGCGTAAAAAAATAGTTCTTCAAATTAAAAAAAGAAATAGCCAAAAATAATAAGCAAAAGGTAGCCAAAAATTTTCCTCAGGTTTATAAAAAGCGACATGCAAAATTTGGAACCAATTGGTTCAGTAGTTTTTGAGTTTATCGCGAAACAGACAGACAGACAGGAATTGACTTTTATATATATAGAGATATATGAGAAGGTACAATTTTTGGAATATAGATTAGAAACACAAGGTGATAAGACCAATTCTAAATATTCAAATAATGATGTTTCAGTAACAGCATTGATACTATTCATTCAGTACTTTTGTCTGATGGTAACAATGCTGTTATCGAAACGTCGCACACTATTTACAGTCAAACCTCTTTAATTCAACACCCCAAGGGATCTCAGAGCTTTAGGTTGAATTAAAGGAAGTGTTGAATTAAACTTTGATGATTAGCTAATCATCTAACTCGCTAAAAAAATATTTTTAAAAATAGCTTTGTAATATAAATTAATGATATTAATTGAAACCATTGTGTTTGTGTACTTTTTTGTAGTTATTTTTTTATTTTCATTATTAACTTTTAGTATCAGGGACAAAATAGCATTATTACATATTTTTGAAACATAAATAATTACAAATAATATTTTATTCCAATTGAAGAATATTATTTAAAAAGCATCATGATCTTTTAAAAAATTCCTTTATAGATGTCTGTTTTTACTCTGAAATTCTTTTCAGGATGTATTCCAAAAGGTCTATTTTAAAAAGACATGCATGTCTTTCTTCCTTTAAAATGTCTTTTAAATAACAAAGAGATTTCTCTTCTTCTTCTTTCTTATCTTCACTCAATCATATTAACCCTTAACTGGACGGGTGGATTTTTCTTACGTAACTGGACGGGTTGGGTAGATTCAACCCACCTATGTAACTTTATGAAATAAGCGCTAAATAATGATTGAAATCAATATGGAAATTGCAAAGCGTTATTGCAAACGCTTAGTTGACATACAGAGCAAAGGGTTTTTATTTTTTACTGCGTTTTTAAATGGACATTTGTTGCACCATTTTGGAATATCAGATTGTTGTGGCTTCGTAGATTCCCTTGATGTACTTGAACCATCATTTTTCTTGATTTTTCGTCTGTAATTCCCGCGGGAGAGAATTGAGATTACGTGTGGCCAGGTGTTCATCAGTCAATGCTCTCCCAAGATCAACAATAAAATGACTCCTTTCTTTTTTACCTTTTTTATCAATCTGATTACCGATTTTCTTTTCCAGAGAAACTAAAAATAGAGGTTCCTGATTCTCTATTAGGGTGCGGTTGAAATTGTGGTGAATCTAAGGTTTGTTCTTTCTCATCGTTCCTAAATATGTAAGACCATTTTCTTTCAACTTATCAACTAATTCTACTGAAGTGAATCAATTGTCTGCTGGAATATTTCTTCCAAAGTGTGTGTGTTGTGTTGTTGTGTGTGTTGTGTGTGTGGTCGACTAATCTATAAAACATATATATTTTGGGATGGCAGGGATAGTTCTCTCTGTTGACTTGATTGATTATTCTACTTATCCAAAGAAAGAAGTGTTATTTTATAAAAAGGAAGCTAAAAATAGCGGAAGATAGAGACTCAAGTATGAGCCACGAGCTAACACTGACACGAAAAACTCTCACGCTTCTGGACGTGCTGGGCGGAATCCGCCCACACATGCAAATTTAACCCCCCTCCCAAAACTGAAATTTATAAACGAAGGATGGAAAATGTTTGTATCACTGTAAAATTAGAATACATGAAAGCTGGTAGCTCTAGGTAAACAAAAAATATATTTTTTTCCTATAATAAATTTATGCATGGGCAAAATCTACCCAACCCGTCCAGTTAAGGGTTAAGGTATCAAGCTTGTAAAGCACAAAGAGATTTTATTGTATTAAAGCCATCCACTGCTGCAGCAGGTGTTATTGATTTTGTGATTAATTTTTTTATAATAACATGGAAATGGAATATTGAAATACAATGTTATCATAATCATTGTGGCTACATTTTATAAATATTTATTTATTTAAAAGGTAATTATTTGTAAATTTTAAAATAACTAAAATATTTCAATGCTGAAAATTAAAAAATAAAATGGGGGTTGGTGGAAGGCTGGTTAAACCGTTTGGTTTTCGACCACTACGACCTGGGTTCTATTCCCGCATTGGACACTTTTTTCTGATAAAAAAAAAAAAATGCTCCAATGACCCCCGATTCTTGCAAAAGTCCAACCCTCCAGCGAGTGCAAGTAACCAAACGGGGCTCTGGCACATTTGTAAGTGCAAAGTCGAACTGCTTTTCACATGTGTAGACATGTGTTGCGCTTACAGTAAAAGCAGTCGCTAACTACTCCACCATGATTATCATGGCCTGTGCCATGTGTATATTAGGGATATTTAAAATATAAATAAAATGATATTATCAATTAGCGCACGATGTCTAAATTCCCGCATAAAAAATAAAAAATAATAATAACACTCATGACATTGCGCAACGTCACTGCAAAGTGAAACTTAGGAGACTAAAGTGGTTGTTCCAGAGAAACCGAAAATAGAGGTTCCTGATTCTCTATTAGGGTGCGGTTGAAATTGTGGTGAATCTAAGGTTTGTTGTTTCTCATCGTTCCTAAAAATGTAAGGCCATGTTCTTTCAACTTATCAACTAATTCTACTGAAGTGAATCAATTGTCTGCTTGAATATTTCTTCCAAAGTGTAGTTGACTAATCTCTAAAACCTATATATTTTGGGTTGGCAGGTATAGTTCTCTCTGTCGACTTGATTGATAATTATACTTATCCAAAGAAAGAAGTGTTATTTTATAAAAGGAAGCTAAAAATAGTGGAAGATAGAGACTCAAGTATGAGCCACGAGCTAACACTGACACAAAAAATTCTCACGCTTCTGGACGGGCTGGGCGGAATCCGCCCACACATGCAAATTTAACCCCCCTCCCAAAACTGAAATTTATAAACGATGGATGGAAAATGTTTGTATCACTGTAAAATTAGAATACATGAAAGCTGGTAGCTCTAGGTGAATGAAAAATATATATTTTTCCTATATTAAATTTATGCATGGGCAGAATCTACCCAACCATCCAGTTAAGGGTTAAAAATGATGTTTATTATTTTAAAAGATATGTGGATGACTCCATTTTATTTATTAATCAGGGAAGTGAACAAAAAAATTTGGATACTTTCAACAATCTATTGCCTGATATCAATTACACTATGGAAGTAGATTACAACAAAATAAATTTCCTGGACATGAACTTATCATACAGTAATAACAATATTACAACCTCTATATACAAAAACCAACACATACAGGAACTTATTGGAACTATAGCTCACAGCACCATTTCAGCCAAAAAGTAGGATTAGTAAAAGCTCTTATATATAGAGCTTTCACACTCATTAATGATACAACTAAAAGAGATATAGAAATTAACAACATCAAAAAAGAACTAATCAATGAAGATTTTCCCATCAAATTAATAAATAGAATAATAGAAGACACGAACCAAAAATATGAGAATAATACTTTAATTCAAAATCTAAAGTGCAAAAACAAAGAAGCCAAATTTATCACATTACCATTTATAAACCAAAAGTTTGCAAGAAATTTTACTAATATTCGGTTCGGTAGTAACACGCAGTCGCGCCATCACGCGCACACCCAGGAACTGACGACTGAGGAGATACAAGAGTTACAGTCACAGCAGCATACTGAGGTTATGCAAGTCATTGGTTTTGAGGAGTCAGAGGAGGAGGTTATTTCTACAAGTGAGATAAAGGAGATCTTAGGAATGTGGGAGAGAGTTTCACAGTTCATGGAAAAAAAACACCCAGAAAAAGTTGCAACAGGTCGTGCATATGACCTTTTTAATGACACTTGCCTAACTCATTTCCGGAACATTCTGAGAGGGAGGAAGAAACAAACCTCCTTGGACATGTTTTTTTCTAAACGGCCTACAGGTGAAAGCGAGAAAAATGTAGCGAAAAAGGCAAAGACCAGTGAGGATATCTAATTTATTTCTTTACATTCTCTTTTTTGTTTTTGTGCAATAAATATCTGATATTTATAAATACGTTTTTATTATTTAAAACCACGTAACAAAAATAACTGGGGTGACATTTTGGAGGTTGGAACAGATTAATGGTAGTTCAATTGTTTTGTATGGGGAAATTTGCTTCGAGATATGAGTAATTCAAGAATCGAGCAAGGTTGCGGAATGAATTAAACTCGTATGTCGAGGTACCACTGTAGTATGAAAAAATAAACATTGCATGGAAACCATGTAACCCTATCTCTCAATATATCAACAATCATAAGAACACTCACATACCAAAAAGAGCAGGTTTAATTTATGAAGTAAATGTGAAAAATGTGACCAATATTATTAAGGACAAACATTCATAACTTTAAAAGAAAGAATGAAAAAGCATGAATATGCTCTGAAATGGGATAAAATTGAGAATTCTGCACGTGTAGAACATAGAAAAATCACAGGACATAATAATTTTAACCTAAAAGAAACAAAGATACTAGATTATGAGAAAAATTATTTTAAGAGACAATTTAAAGAAGCATTTTTCATTCAAAAGAAATGTGCCACAATTAACAGAATGGAAGAAAGAGGAAATATAAATGATATTTATAGATATGCTTTTAATTATATTTTAAAAAATTCTAACAATAATATTCTGTGTTTCTCAGATAAATATCTTCTTCTTATCTGTTATCTTGTTTACAGACTTGATAACAGGAACTATTTAAAAACATGCTGTGGTAAAATTTCTCATTCAGTACTTTTGTCTGAAGATGGTAACAACGTTGTTACCGAAACGTCACACTTTATTTATTTGGATTTGGTCTTATTACCTTGTGTTTATAATCTATAAAATCCAAATTATGCCTTATTTATTTTAAA